GTAAATATCTCCTGCTTTATGTATTTATTTATTTTCTCATATTAACATACTTATATAATTTATTTTTATGATTATTTTTTGAAATCTTTTTTGTTTTTTTTTTCAGATTTTCCTTTTGCTTTACATAAACGGATTTTTCTTCCTATAAACAACAACAATAACAATAACAACAATTAAAATAATAATATTAATAAATAAATAAATAAATTAATTAATAAATAAATAATAACATGGATCATTCCCAACACACTTTACACAGCAATCACGGTAAATATCTCCTGCTTTTTGGTTTTAATTTAGTTCTCTTATTAGTCGATCTTTTGATATCTCATTCTTGCAATGCAAGCATATGAAGACAAACGAAACGAATCGTTGCCCACGTTAAAGAGTAAGAATGATTGATGATTTATGCAACTGAAGAGGTTTCTCGCTCTGTCTGTCCGCTTAAATATTCATAATCATTAGAAGACGTTTCCTTTTTCATTAGTCAAATGTATAACTGAGCGACTGAACGACTTAATCGCATCGAGAGTGCTTTAGAAATCTGCTGATGTTTCTTATCGTTGTACTAACATAATTGGACCTTCAAAGTCCTATTATATACATATTATGCATATATAAATTATGTTTAAAATTCTTTTTGTTGATTTTTCTCGCAATAAAAAATAAATAAATAAATAAAAAATAAAAAATTAACAAAAATTGTCAATTTTTAGAAAATACGTTAACAAAAGGATTGAAAAAAACCTCTTTAGTAAATATCATGAAAATCATAAACCAAACGTCGTCAAGCATCAAAAGATTTATTCTAAGCCAATAATCTTGTTCTGCTTTCCTTTTATTTATTTATTTATTTATTTTGTTTTTTTGTTTTTTGTTTTTTATATTTGTAGTGTTTGTTGATATTTTGATTTACTGCTCTTTTATCCGCTTTTATATTTTTCAAAAATTTAACGTAATTTGGATGCTTATTACACATGATTAGATTAACTTTATTTATGCAGAGGATTTGCGAATGGTAAGAGGATAACTTAGTATAAAACGAAATTGTACATCTCTTGCAATGCAAAACATTCGCTCGTTATGCCCAACAAGAATGTAAAAGAGAGAAAAGCATTGAGTTTACGCATAATTCTGCTGCGGGTATTGTTTTTCATTCCCATAATGGCATAAATCTATCAGTCTAATAGCTGACCATCATAGACACAATTGAAGTAATTTCACGCCTCTATTCACAGTGCTTGGCAATGATGATCGAAGTTCCTATCATATATATATATATATATATATATATATATATATATATATATACATATCTTTAAAGCAAGTTCTATATTGACAGCGTTGGATGGGTGTAAGCGATTTTTTTTTCTACTTTTAAGATCACCTACTATGGAATCGTCCATAGAATATGCTTGGGAATTTTTATCATTATATCTGCTGGCATTTACGACTAATGAGCAAAGAAATCAATTTGTTTTTTCTTTTTTTTTTTGCTTTGAAAAACAGAGGTGTTCTCACTCTGGCTCAGTCTGCCGCAGTCGGGCTTATCTTCAATACTAATCGGCATATAGTAGTTTTCAATATTTCTTATCAAATTTGACTCTGGGCTCGATTTCGAGTTTTCGTTATCGAGCTATCCCACGATATTAAAGACAAAAAATAAAAAAATTATATTCACTTGTGAGCGAATCCTTTATACTCATCATCGTTTTGTTATGAAATATTCAAAAAAAAAAAACGAAAAATATAAATCTGCATAGTTCATATCCATCAAAAAAGGAAATGGAGGGAAAAAGGATAAAATTGTTGCGCGTTTAATGGCGAGAGAAAACGATATTCATATGTATTTGATATTTAATCACTTTGTTAAAATATATTTTAACTAAATTTCTATTACGATATCATGTTAGACTATCAATTCACTTCTACGAGGTGTGTTTAAAAAAAACAAAGAAGTCCTTTTTTTTTTTTCGAAAAACATTTGCTTATGCGTCAACATCTATGTTTGTCCCCTTCGAAGTAATCTCCTTTAGATGCAGTACACTTGTGCCAACACTTTTTCCGATTTTTGAAGCATATCTGATACGCCCCATTTTTGGTACGGCTTTGAGCTCTTCCGGCGATGCAAGCTTTATATCCTTAACCGTGGCAAAATCTCGTTCTTTCATGGGCTCAAGTCCGGTGAATACCGGTAATGAGGCACGATTACGATATCGTTTTCGGCCAACAAGTTACGAACAAGCATTAAAGCAATATCTGATGACTGATTGCTTCATAATTTCGCCGGGCGTTTTTCTCATGCGGGTAATATTTCTCACTGACCGCACGACCGATCTGCCATTATAATCGAAGAAAAGAGCGAGGAAAACCTTCAAATTTGACCAAACTGCTTGACGTGTTTTTCTAGTCTGGTAGCATTTCTGGCCGCTTCTGGCCGGTTGGACTGATTGAACTTTGATTTCGACATCATAAACAAATACTCATGTGTCGTCATCAATTGATGATGACTCATTTAACAACCCCAGATATGCCGACCTCATCAGCAACTTCTTTAATAGCTATTCGACGATTCTTTATAACAATTTTCTTTACTGCTTCAACGTTCAAGTGTTCGGGCGTCAAGGGCACGTATCGTCATTAACATTTTTTCCGCTTGTCGCGAAGATTTTCTATCGCTTATTAACATTTTTTTTTTTTTTTTTTTTCGAAGTAGACCCGACATTTAATACAGATTCTTGAATGGCTGGTAATGTCCAACCAAAAAAAAAAAAAAAAAAAAAAAAAAAAAATCAAAGATCGAATGTACATAGCCGACGACATTTAAAATACCTTTTTCAACTCACCTCGTAAATGGCTATAGAGGGAGAATCATTATATCGTATACCATTTGTGATACATTAAGTTTGTACAGATGTATGTACTGACCATCTTCCTTTCGCCTAAGTTTGCCTGTTCGCCGATGTGCTTGACCTACGGATCTCAACTTTTACGACATTTTGACGAAAGTTCACATGTTTTTTGACCCAAGGGCAAGCTCTATTAACAATGAACTGGACCGGTTCACCCTTGCGACTATTCCTCATATAACGCCTTATTTTAATTGGAAAGAAAACAAATTTCGAAATGTCTTGACAAAAATCATTCTGTAATAGTATTTCGACATTTGATGTAATTTGGATGTGAAAAAGCTAAGACTGGATCAGATACTTTTTTTGAACCTCCTTCCCCTTATAACCACTCGCTGGACAACTTAATCGTCCACATAATAAAATTGTCGAATTTTTAAGATATTTGAGGCACAAATTGGTCTTTGGTCAACTGTCAGTTTTGTTGTGCCCTAACCCGTATATGGGTTATCAGGTTCTAGACTTGGAGCGGAGCATCATTTTTGGTTCATTATCACGAAAATGATATTAGGCGAGGCGATATAGGCTATTTAATGGTCGACCTTGCCTGGCTATTATTTTTTATTCTTATTTATTTAATTTTTTTTTTTTCACAACATACACGATTCGCATAATACATCTATGAAAACGTAAGTAAGACAAATTTAAAGCAAAACTTTTGAATAAAAACTTTTTAAATTCATTATTAAAGGATTTTTTTTTTATTTTTATTTTTTTATTTTAATTTTTTTTTTTTTTTTTGCTAGTTGACAATATTGTCTACCACTACTTATGCGGTATTCCGTATTCTTTTTCATTTTTCTTGCTTTGCTTGCTGTGTGTTGTGTATAGAGTATGTGTGTTCTCGAATTGTTGCGAAAAATAGCCCATAGAAAATAGGCGCAAATTTTTAATAAAAATACTCATACACTTCAGTTTTGATTGTATTTGTGTGTTTAATTAATGCGCACTCTTGTTAAAAGTTACAGTGGGTGGAGAATTTCGTTGCACTACTACTGCAAAAAAGAAACATTATTTTTAATTTACACCAGGAAGAGAGAACGGCGGATGAAACAGTTAGATTATTAAACTACTCGTGCTAAAGAGTTTATAATGCTGCTGCAGAAGCGAGCATGCTACTTGACTTGAACAAAATAAAGCGAGACCAAAAAAAAAAAAAAAATAACAAAAAGCAAGTAAGAAATACATTATCCGGTTGTGACCGAATCTTTTGCACCCATCACCGTTATCCTATTAAAAATTTCAAAAAAAAAAAAAAAAAAAAAAATGGAAAAAAAATGGAAAAATATAAATTTACATACTTCATAATAATGATAAGTGGGCGTGGTTGATTTTTTTTTTCAATTTCTCTATTTTTGTACAATAATTTTTTTAATGGAAATTTATATCATGTGCCTACTGTAGCTTATAAGCAATAAGCAAAAAACGTCGAGAATAAAGATTTTCTCAGTCTTGATTTTATAGAGAAATGTGGATGTTGTAGACGTGTTTTTCGGACCGGTTTAGACCGTTCTTAAATTCTTTTAAAATATCTTCATTTTGAAAAGGTTTATCATAGATACTACACATATCGGCAGACGGACCGAACCGATGGACGAGTATGCTCAGCTGCATTTTGAATTCGAAACTGACCAAGAGTTTATGAAGTTTAAGGCGGCTTTTGAAGCTTGCTTCTGCGCCTTTATAACGCGCGTATTGAAAAAAGTCTAGGTTTGATGCCTTACAATATAGGGTAAGCGTGACCAATTATTCCCATTTCTGCCCAGATACTACAGCATTGCCTAAAGAGCATATATTCAAACTTTTGTCGATTTATCTCAATGAATTCTTATGTTTGTTTAGTGACAAAAACATTTTCAAAAATTTTTCATAATGAAGTGTGTTGTGCTATTTACGTACCCCGAGACCGTACTTGCTCATCACCTATTTAGGCACAATCGGATTTCGCTTTCAAAAAAGTGACGATTGCACGATTTCCATATCGCATGGAATAGAGAAGCGAAAAAAGGACTTAACCGCCATTAACCGGCCAAGTTCACATAACACTTGGGTTTTATTATTATTGCTTGATTAAATACGTCAACGTTACTTACTAACGAAATCAAAGAGCTTCAAAAAAAAAAAAATAAATAAATAAATAAAAAATAGCCTTCTTGGCCGTTCACGATTAAAATTGTCATCTTTGTTGACGTGATTTATGGCAATGAAGTTACATGACATGTGAGGGTTGCGGTTATATGCAAACATGTTTGAATATTGTCACCAGCGGAACCGCAATATTTTGGATGGGTATGGTATCAACCGAAAATGAATTTTGTTCATGAATAGAAATGACACGAGCACGAATTGTCAAAGTGACGATATTTGACAAATTTCTATCCACAAATTAGAGTAAATATCACAAGATCTAATATATGTAATGAACGTAGCCTATAATGATCCAAATGAAAGTTGAGGGCATCCATGAAATGATCGATATGAATATTCTTTCTTTTTTATTTATTTTTTTTTTTTATTTAATTTTAATTTCTTTCTTTTTTTTTTTAATTCATTGAAAATTTTTGTTTGTTTAATTTTTTATGAATTCGTAATATTCAAAACAAAAAAAAAAATCCTATAAAAAGATCATTTAATGCATCCTATGCATACTGCTACAGAAAGGGCCATGGACCAGCAAATGATGTCTACAACAACAAGTTCGGCCGATATGCACATGCATCACAGTACAATGCATCACAGCGGGCATAGTATGGACGAGAGCGGCGGCGGGAGGAATATTGGCGGCGATAATATGCATATGATGCATAGTATGATGTCCATGTCGGTGAGTATAATACGGATAAATAATTAAAGGCCAAATTAATTATTAATAACATTTTATTTGCTATAGTTTCATTTCGGTTGTAATGAAATCATCTTATTTGATTTTTGGAAAGTGACTACCGTTTGGGGTATGGTCGGATCGGCTATTGCCGTTTTTATTTTGGCCTTGCTGTATGAGGGGCTCAAGTACTATCGTGAATATCTGTTCTGGAAAACTTATAATTTATTGGAATATCGTCCAGTAACGGCCCCCCAAACAAGTGCCGAAACTGGTAATAGTTCAGCGGTAACACCACAAAACTCTGCTGCTCGCGTCCAGTAAGTCCTTGTTCGCGAAACTAAACCTTTTTTAAAAAAACAAAAAAAAAAAAAATCAATGTTTTCGTGTCTCATATGATATTCATGTTAATATATTATATGTTTTCTCTTCTCTTTCCATCTTTATTTTTACGTTCTCATATTCTCTTCGTGCAAAAAAAAAAAAAAAAAAAAAAAACAAAATCATCACATTCTCTATATATATATATGTGTGTGCAAAAAATTCCAACATCAACAATTTCTTTGGTGTCCATCGAATCATAAAACAATTACTTGTTTAGATATGTGGGCGAAGTTATACATAAACAACCGTAAGTATATATATATGAAATTTATATATATATATATATATGAAATATTAAAACAAATTTTGGATAATATAAAGAAATATGCTTATATGTGTTAGTTGGCATACCATCTCATGCATGTATTATAATTCGTTAGTATTCCATTACCTTAACCTAACCAATTAAATGTTATGTTTTACCGCCCTCGAGGCCACTTAAAGGTTTCGCTGTATAATAACCATATATATATTCATGCGTACACTTTCGAGTGCCGCACTCACCGAGTCCAGAGTTCTCTTTAAAGAGACTTAATATCTGGACGACAAAGACATTAGCGTATTCGATCTAATTCGATTCATCACTTTATCAGCAAAAAGCAGTAGCTACGCTTCATACTCTCTGCAATCTAATGGCGTCGATTTTGCTAATTCACAACTGAAATCTCTATCCCTCTATTGTTAATGGGCGGAGGAATACGAGTGATGATGACCGAGGTCGCACACCCAGTATTAAACCTTTCTTAGGAGTATTCAATTTTTAAGGAGTTCCTCCTGATCACTTGCCTAACTACCTCCCAGCTGGCATTTGTATTGGGCACTCTCAGCTGAATGCACTCTCAGCACAATGCGATGAATGAAATTTAAATCGTGATAGCTCTTCGAGGCTAATCATCCTTAATTATCCTTCTATCTACCGTGGGATTCCTCGTACCAACGATCAATGTAAACGTTGACACTCTTCCGCAAAACGCGTATATGCAACATTTTTTATCTCTTCACCTCAAATTCATCAATCTTGTAGATTCCAAGATGGCTTGCATCTGGCTCTAGGGTGTAGTGTTGCGGATTTCTTTGTTACGTTTTCCATCTAATAGTTGCGTATGGGCCTAGATTCGTATGATATAGTACTGAGTCCATTCAATATAGCCGGAAAACGTTTTATCAAACAATGTTTTTGTAGTCGTCTCGCGATTCACCATTAAGTATCCCGCATCGTCTACGGGATGCTCATATAACGACATTTTAAAATAAGGCGTTATATAGGATGCGGTCGAAAAGTTGCTCCGATTCGAGCTGCTCTTAATAGCGTTCGTGCTTGGGCCAACGCAGGCCAATCTAACAAATTTCATCGAAATATCTCAAAAATTGTAATGTACAGGTTGAGCACAAGAATATAAGATGAACGGGATGAAATGGATGGGTCTATCCCAAGTCCTCCTAGATATTACATACATAATATATACGGATCTGAAAAATGTCGATGCAAATTCTAGGCCTCGATTTGGATAACAAACAGTCGGGAATAACGTCGTGTACACTTCAATCCGAATGAAAACTCACTATAAGCCCTCAGGTATTCATCAGAAATTTCATTATTGCCTCTCACATAAATGTAGAACTCGGAGCTCAGGCATCGCCATTATAGTTATTTTACAATACTTGAAATATATGTTACTTTGACTTTTTCATACACAACCGCGAAGGATGAGAAAACATTCAAATAATAGAAGCTTTGCTGAAGATGCTATAAGTAATAGATCAACATCGGATTCTGAATCGGATATTGAAAATATGATTGCCCGTCCCTCAATGCTTTTATGGTTACGAACAATCAACTACGAAGATAATGGTTTCAAATTTCGCAAAACTTTGAGAAGCTCTTGCACGCAGGCAAGAAACGGTATTTGTACTCATTGCTCATAACCTACGGTATAATTAAGGCATGCGACGAAAGAGATTTTCACGTGTATTCTGTGCGGATGATGCTAAAGCACTTTTACAAAAATTGAAAAGAGCGACCACGCCCACATGAGATTTCTTCTTTTCTTCTTTTTTTTTTTTTTTTTGCATGATAAAAGTGGTTGTACCTACGAAATTTAACGGTAGTCGAATATTTAGTTTTCTTACTTATTGGAAATACATTTTTATCGAATCTACAAACTCTATTGCCTTAGCATTTTCAAATGAAATCGCTTATGAATTCATGAAGGGTGCAATGTATTCATACGTGTCAGTGTTCACAAATAAATATTCCTACCCTACGTTTATCTTATTCACTATGTGTGTTGTATTCAATATATATAGTTAAACCCTTCAATTTAGTTTATTGTTTCTTCTATCTTCAAATGAAATCCTTTACAGTCATATTTTTGTTTAAGTATGTATTGCGTACACACATTGCACATTTACGTCTCTCTTATAATTTCCTTTTATTCATCTTTTCTATATATATTATCAAATACACTCAATATTTATATGCATACGAAAGTAATCAACAAGTTGTTCTCCTATTCAGAATTACTTTACACGTATTTACTACAAATACTTGTACTTTGCATTATTGCTACACGAACTGCCAAAGTTAATAGTGTCTATCGAGGATTGCATATGATATAAATTAAAAATTTCGTTAACCCAACATCTATGCATTTAATACGATCTGAAGAGGTATTATACTTCTCCTTTGCAAAGTTGTTTGGCTTTATATTAAATTTTAGAAAATTTATCAATCGAAATGCGTTATATTATTAATACTCGTTTCTACAATTTTCGTGCAGATATATTTGTAATTCATCATCATCATGTCAAAAATTCCATTAGGAAAAAAAAAAAAAAAAAAAAAACATTAAAACGCTACGCAGGCCTGGATTACGATGACTTATTGAACGCACCAGCGTATGGATGGTTTTCTCGCTTCCCTGCTGGAAAAATCAATGAAATCTTACAAAAAAAAAAAAAAAAACCGCGAAAATCCAAAGAAAACTGGGTTTTAAGCAGCCATGACATTGCTAAACAATCAGATATCATTACAGATATCTTTTGTGTAGACAAAAAGGTTCGAGGCTTGAATGCCGGACGAATTGCGAATGATTGACGGGACTTCTATCAGCAAATAGCTTACATAGCGTTACTGAAAGGATTGAGTATATTAAGAGGATCTGATTATGCCAAGCGATAAACAAAAAAAAAAAAAAAAAATTATCACAATTGATCAGGGGAAACGAGCTTACCTTCTATTATGACAATGTCACACCGTGTATACCTTTTTTTTTTTTTTTTTTTTTTTTTTTTGATTTGTTTGGAAATAGATTGGATCCATAATCCAGTAACGTAGTTGAAAGCCATTGATCCGTAAATACCTTTCCATTCATGACAAAAATATAGAGACTTAGATGGGGAATATTTGATTTCTTCTAGTGTGTAGCGAATAACTGCCTTTTGTTTCGCTCTATGCAAAACTCTCTTAATATGTGGCAAAGCCGATTTCAAAAGAGGCAGACATAGAACTCTTTTCGTAAGAAAATCCTGATTTTTTAATAGTTCATCAAAGACAGCAAAATGACTGTATCTTGACAACGCCAGAAGCTCATAACAATTGTTGCCCTAAAAAAAAAAAAATTTCTTGTTCTATAATATTAAATGGGAGTGGCTGGTTATAGGTTATAGATATAGGTTATCTAATCTAGCTTGTGAGTAATGGGCAAAAAACGGTTGTTTTTTTTTGTCTTTTGGAAAATGGAGGCGTTCTCAGTTTACATGACACTGTACATGGATACTTCGATCGATTTGACCCATTCTTAATACCAATCTACATGCAAGAACTTTCAAGGTCTCTGCCAAATTTTAAGCCGATAACTTTATTCTTGCAGACAAGAGAATGTTTACAAGTGTCTTAACACAGGGTTACCAATCAACATGGTTACATCGATTCAGAATTTGTATCTGATTAATCATATATATATATATATAAAACTAATGGCGTCTCTGGAGCTTCTTCTGGGTATTTGCAAACGTTGTTGTGACCAAACGTTCATTACTCCGCGATGGCTACAAAAATAGCAATCAATAATAAAATATCTCAACACTTTCTACACAGCTACTACAGCTACTCTATTAAACCAATTTTCTTCCTAATCTCAATACCAATGTCTAGTGCGTTCCCTATACGTCTCCTTTTTTCACCGCTAAAGAATCAGTTGAAGTTACACTTTTCTTTACAAGTATTTGTAAGCCATAGTTCCTGAGTACGCACAAATTGTGAAAGAATCAATAATGACTTTTCATAGTCAAATGTTGGATTGTTGGGCAATTATTTTTGTACATTTCCTTGCATCTCTATTATTCTTTAAGTCTTTAACTCTATGTGAAATGTATCTTTACTTACAGGCGAATATCGCTTTTATGTTCATAACATCCTTAGCGGTAGATATTTGCATATGAAAACAGCTTAAATCGTTTTCACTCTACGATTTATCAATTTCTCACTATTTATATGTGTATGTGTATTGTTTTGCGCTGGTATTCAATTGATTTTAATGTTTTGCTTGAATTAATTTACAAGTATCCTTGTCATTTATATCGTTCTCTCTCTCTCTCTCTCTCTCTCTCTCTCTCTCTCTCTCTCTCTCTCTCTTTCTCTCTCTCTCTCTCTCTCTCTCTTTCTCTCTCTTTCTCTACATTCAAGTCGGTCGTGCTTTCTACGCAATTGTAATTTGTGTGTAGAACACTAACGCCATTGCTTTAATACTTTATGCGAATTTGCTAATCCTTGAATTTTACAACACCGAGTAAAGCAAGTGTGTACGTCTCCACGTGTCACGTGTTATCCTCATCTGTGCCTTAGATAAATGATAAATCGAAAATATACGATTGTTTGTTGATTGTTTTTGTCGCTTAGTTAGTTTACCTTTGCAATCATTGTTTTATAGTTCATTTAATTTAATTTTGTTTATCTAAGTAGTTGTTGTTGTTGGCCGCATTACAATTTTATCCCATACTTGCTATTAACGATATTTTCTCGCATGATACTTTTACGTGAGACATAAAATATTGTATATACTTTACTTTAAAGCCAGCAGCGCCGCTTTTCGTTCGCTTTAAATAAATTGATGAGATAATATTGGTGCGTAAATTTTCTCATATCGCAATTACATATCAAATGGAATTCAATGATTTGCAATTTCATTATAAAATCGCATATAAATCGCAAACGCACAAAGAGGAAATTTCATTAGAAAAGTATTGATCTTGGGAATACTTTTCGCTCAGGGGTCAGTCAATTGAACGAGACATTTAGTGAAAGCTTACAAATTATTTTACATTTGAAATTTTGCATGATTTTTGAAACGGATTCACTTACGAGACGCAATAAATTAAATGTTACGATATAATTAAAAAGCAAAACAACACCTAACACGCTAAGAGAAGATCCTTTGTGCTAAGATATTATTTTCTATTGTGCAATCGAGTGAATCAACTATATGTGATATCGTATATTATTGATATATTAATATATATATATATATATATATATATATATTCATTTTTTATATATTCTTTGCAGTCCCAGCATGTTGTCACTGAGTCATTTATATCAAACATTCTTGCACATGGTGCAAGTTACAGTGTCCTTTTTTCTAATGTTAATATTTATGACTTATAACGTGTGGTTATGTATGGCCGTTGTATTGGGTGCTGGCTTGGGTTATTTCCTATTCTGCTGGAAGAAATCCGTTATTGTCGATGTAACGGAACATTGTCACTAGCAATGTATAAGATGTCAATGACGTTTTGCAATGCGAAAATATTTATGGCCAACACAAGTGGGCATTAAACCAGCACTACCATTATTACAACAACAACAACAACAACAACAACAACAACAACAGCAGCAACAGCAACAACTACTACTATTATTACAGCAGCAGCAGCAGCAGCAGCAACAACAACAACAACAAGAAAATTGCTCTCAAAAACAACAACCGCATCGAATAACAACAAATGATAACGATAATGATGATCATGGTGATGATGATGATGATGTTGCGGATAATAGCGAAAATAGAAATAAAAAGTTGGTGCTACTTCAAAACCAAAATACAGTGCAAGTTTTCAAAGATTTAAATAATGCAACAATAACTATCGATACCATGGCTATAACAAATACCACAACCACTACTTTAGTGCATAGCGGCTGTGGGAGCATCGGTGCTAATTGCACAAATTGTCGAAATACTAAAATTCTTTTAAGGCTAAGTTTAAGATATTTTTACGACATAAATTATGAATTTATAAAAAATATTATCTAGAAAAAGCAAAAAGGAAAACTTTTAACAACAAATTTTTACTCAAACACATAAATGTTTGTTAAATTAAATATGCAGATGTGTATCCTTTTGCAAGTTAAGTGGCTTAAGTTCAACAAAGAATTGATTTTTTTGTGCGAGAAAATGATGAGAACAAAAATAAAAATAGGAAGAAAAGAAACTAACAAAAAAAATAAAAAACAAAAAACACAAGAAGAATGAATAATTAAAAAAAAAAAGACAGAAACGCAGCATTATATATATGCATATCCAACTCTTTTTTTTTTTTTTTTTTTTTTTTTTACAAGGTAGATGCGCTCCTTGGATAACCATGGAGCCAAATAAATCCGACATATAGTAAATTTGGGGATATATTCTACAACCTTAGATGAAAAAACTTTACATAGTTTCCAAAAAAAAAAAAAAAAAAAAAAAAAAAAAAAAAAAAAAAAAAAAAAACACGTAATGACAACATTACACATTACATATTTGTATAACAAAAATAATATATTTTTATTACAAAAAAAAAAAAAAAAAGATTAAAATTAATGTCAAATAAAAATTCAGTCCATAAGTACAATATATAAAGAAAAACTTGATAACAAGCGTGCACGTTTATTGCGCACGTTGCATTTCTTCAATAACATCCTAAACAAAATCATTCTTCGCCATCTTCTCTTGGCTTTCAAGTTTAAATTTCAATCTATAACATATCGACAGGTCTATCGGCCTTTTCGGTTTTTCTCCGCAAATTTCGTGAATTATTGAAGCGCGGCGCCGCTAAGAAGCAACAGCATAAGCTTCGCGCGCTCAAAAATCGCATAATCAAAGCTAATACGCAAGACTGGAAGAAACCAAGCTTGCGTTGTAATTGTTCGAAACTTGTTTCATGCTAGTGCTCTCAACATGAAATTTTTCAATTTTTTCAATGAACATCAACTTTTAGAACTTTATTGAAATTATTTATTGGGCCCTACGAACTGAACACTCGAATACAAAGTAAATATTGAATAATGAAATGTCGCGTTCAGATCAAAGAAAAAAGGCATAATCAAATTCACGTCTTCCCCATAGTAGGCTAATTCAGTAACAAAATCATAATTGGAATTAAAAAGAAAAAAATTTTTTTTTTTTTGGATTCTTGCTAGAACAAAAAAAAAAAATATATATATATATATATAAAAAAGTATATTTGTTTTTATTGTTCAATAGTGTTATTTCAAAGTCGGGTAAAAAAGACAGTGTGCAAAAGGGTTGGATATATATATATTTTTATATTTACATATATGTATGTGTATATATGACTGAGCATAAATATATATACATATGGCAACGCATAAAGACAAAAAAAAAAAACGCATAAGGACGAAAAAATATTGAAAATAAAGTCGGTTTAGTTCGACGGATTATTGCTTTACACTATGAAAGCATACAAAGTGCCGCATAATTATAAATAAATCCCTTTTTATATTGATAATTTATTTAGAGCACAACCGAGCACTAATCTTATTCTTTTAAAGTTTCCTAAAATGTAAACAGATAACAGCTAAGCCATGTGAAAGATAAAATTTTCACTTATTTACTTACTTACTTTTTTTTTCACTTTCCACATCGAAAATAATGGATAAAAATCATCGTTAAAAAAGACAACGCATTGTACCCAGAAGAATTGCGATTACAGTTGTAATGATGAAAAATCTGTTAAAAATTTCATATATCTCCTCTTTAAGCTCCTTATCTAGCTGCGCTATGAAAAATTTGTAGGTGTACTAAGAGCATTTATGAAATGACATTAAGTTTATAGAATATTTTATTCAAAATTTCTACAAATATGATAATGTTTCGAGGGCACACCTCTAAAGCCGGGTGCCAAAGAAATTTTATTATTTATTATATACTTTTTCTCTCTAACCTCGAAAATTTCCTGTTAAACGGTTGTAACTTAATTCATATTATAAAACTTTCTCGTCTGCTGTTTACAAAAATCTCCACATAGTGAAATGTATTACATTACGTAAACGGGAAGTCTGTAGTGAAAAGAAACTTAAGAGGTAACAATAACAAAAAAAAAAAAAAAAAAAATACATAAATAAATAAATAAATAAATAAATAAAATAAATTCTATATTTATATTGCATCGCATACAAGGGAATCTAATCGTTTGTTTGTTTGTTTGTTTTCACTTTGGCAAATATATATTTACTGCAATTTTTCTTTAACGGCTGAGAATCGTTACATCATTACAGACATCACTAACTTCCCGGTTAATGTGATGCACGATCAAAAAAAGGACGAGGGAGATATGAAATTTGAAACAATTCTCATCTCTAGATCTTGAATAACTACAATGACGATAAACTCAAACGTAATCGTGCCATGCTCGATCGATAACAATTTATTTCCCTTTCGATCAATATGTACAATTCCGATCGAATTGTTGCGGCAACGCCCTTTATATCTCTGTCTTATAGACTTGATTCGATTTCGTTAACTTTTCCATTTTCAAACTCGAATTGTTGCGGTTTTTTCCTCGCTTTTCTACTAACAAGTATTCGTTTACGTTTACATTTCACGAATTCAAACTGATCATGATCACCTATAGCCCTTGTGATTGTTGTTTTTTAAGCAAAAGAGAAAAAAAAAAAACAAAATATTTCCATCAACAATCTAATAATTTATGATGTGGAGTAAAATCTTTGTAGTTTTGATTTTAAACCTAAATAAATGCTTTGCGTAATTAATGAGTTGATAACCATTATATGCAGTACAACTTCTTTAAAGCATGCAACCGATATTTATCCAACTCATGCATAAGTCGAATGCAGAATTAACTCTGCTCACGAATTAACACGACTTTACTTTTTTTTTAATTTCATAATTTCTATATATTTGTTATGGGTCGTAAGTATGGTCCCGAGTTCCCGAGATCTTTATTCGTGATTTGATTTTTATTAAATTCCCAACGTTGTTATTCTCACTTCCATTTGTAATTAAAGATTGTTGAGCTTATGCCGCACGGATGGTATCGTTAATGATCCACCAATCTAGTAAAGAGCAAAATAAGTTTTTTACGATATATTACAAATTTTCAAAGCCTTAATCAAATGATTAAAAAAAAAAAAAAAAAATAGAATTTGTCTTCCAATGTTTTTTCAAATGCTTATTACCCCACGCTACTACTAAGTAAAAGTTACATTTTCCCCTTTAAATGACTCTGAATATGGATTGTTGTTTTGTGGGCGTTGTTATGATTGAAGGAAGATCTTTTTAAATATCGTGTGGTTTTGTTGGGTGTCAACTAAGCAAAATTTCGGCTTTCCTTTCTCCTTTTTTTTTGTTTTTTTTTTTTTTTTTTTGGTATTACCACTATAGACGACATATAGGGATGGACAGAGAATATATATATGTATATATTTTATAAATAAATTGTATACATGTATTATAAATGAAAGAAAAATTCTAGTGTGACCATCATACCCATAAACCTTCGATATTGATTAATTTTTCAATGTTATTGAGTCGTTACATTAATTCGATAAAAAACCGAAAAATGACTAAAAACAAACCAGAGAAAAGATATTTCAATTCTCAGCCGGTTAAATAAAAAATTTACTATAAACAAACTGAACTTTTGAACTCTTATAATGAATAATAGAGATAAAAATAGGTAAATGTTTTATATACAATTGCATAATAGTATTTTATATATATACTACCAATATACACAATACATACGTAAATACATAAATGTAAAACTCAATATTTTAAAGAGATCACACACAACAAAATAAAGCCAAAAATTCAAAGAAGGAAAAAAAATAAAAAAATTACAAAAAAATATAATAATTGTTGAATTGAATAATTGTTATCAAATAAAAAAAAAAAAAAAAAAAAAAAAAATACACTACAATTTTTTCCCCCACAAGTTTAAAAACAATTTCCAAAATTTGTTTTGCAATTTGTGAATATTTTATTATAACATTATACTTTTTATATATATTTTTTTATTATATACGTTATTTTTTTAAACAATTTTATATTTAATTCCCCTTCATGAAAACATTTAGACTTTTGTAGATTTTTACTACTTTCACTTTTTTTATTATTATTATGTTTTTCTTTTCATAATAAAATTTTTCAACAAAAATTTTTTCCATCTTTTAAATAAGTCTAGAAAAACACTTTAAGAATAAATGTATAATATTATATAGAAATATCAACTAAAAAATAAATATATCACATTTTTAAAATATAAACTTTTAAGAATTTTCGTTGATATGCTAAATATTTGGAATCGATAACACGATGTCGCCCATTTTATACGTTTGTCGTAAGTGAAATCGCATTACAGTCTTATCTTGTGATTTTTATTCTTTTTCGAGATGGGAAAGCATGCAAAACCGACCATTTTGGACAACAGGAGACGAGACTCCTATCCCTACTCTACGACACGACCGTTAAATGTGCCTTCGCAGAGAGAATTGCCGTTTAGGGATCTTGCCTAACTCTTCTTAACATATAAAAACAAGGTTAGATTGACATTTGAAGTACACGTTTTAAAAATACAGATTCCCCCTGTTTTTGAACACAATATATCATTTAAGACAATGACTTTGTAATTGATATATGAATTCGAGACATTTCCAATGATTATGCATCAAGAAATTAGGCCCAGGTAATTAATGGCAGGAAATTCGGATACATATTTATTGCTTTCATATTGCTTTGTGTGTATACAATTTTATAAATGTCAGAAGGTAAGTGCAACAACTCTGCTCCAGGACAAGTCACTTTTAGCGAAATATGCGTACGCACACTAAAGCAAAAGGATAATAATTAAATGTAATTTACAGAATCAGATAATAAGTACCTGGACGTTGCAAGAATGATGAATTCCAAACATAACGTCGCTAACCGTGCACGTGAGTGATTTCAATCACATGCAGCATCACGATTACAGCAGGTAGAAAATTATAGTCAGCGGTATGACATTGAATATGAGGAACACTTTTCTCACGGATATCAATCAATCATCTATACTTTCATCAAGATAATCCGGAAATCTAAATCGTATAAATCCGTCTGAGTGGCCGAAGACGAAAAATCTCGACTAACAACTAAATGGTTGTTGGTTCGAATCTCAATTGCAGTAGAGTTTTTAATAAGGACGATGCCCTTGGTTGATGCTGGTGCTTTTAAATTTTAATCTTTGAATTTATCTCTCCGACTAAATGAATATAATAAATAAATCGAATAAAAACTTGTTTAATGACTTTGCTGGTAAAAGATGGTGAGAAAATCTGAATCTATGTCTAGATATGAATAATTATCTCATCTTATAGCCACCAAACTAGCAATGAAGGTTCATTGCCCAGCCATCAATACATAAAAAGTAATCTGTAATCCCTTCACATTGACCTTTCTTTTTGACAAACGCCCTCATGAGCTGCACATTTATATGAAACGAATTTGCAATTTTACAAATCTTAAGAACTTCCACTTGTCTCTAAGCATGTTATTCAAATGCAAAAAAAAACGCTACTTTACTTTTTTTTGCGATTTTCTCTGCAATTTTGTCACACACGTAACATATTTTTCCATATTTATTTACTGCATTTTCTGCTACAATACGTTGCGTCTTTTGAAAATTCTCCGCAATATTAATCTGAAAAATTGTTCGATTAAAGAGCACAAAATACGCCAAATATTCAGTATGACTGACGGATATAAAAAGCATTACAGCTTTTAAGACGGGACTTTTCGCTACAAAGAATTTCTCAACAACATTATTATCAAAGATAATTAAGTAACAGTATGTACATAAAATAATAATAAGCTATATAAGAACGAAGTTATTATTATTATAATTTTCTTACTTATTACAATTATTTTTATTTTTACTAATAATATCCTTTATATATAACCTTAGTTTCAAGAATTTGCCGGAATATTGTTTGTTCGTTAGATCTTCAGGCCGCTTCCGCTTTAAAGCAATCAACGGCTCTTTCACCTGTTTAGGGGCAGTTTAGTACAATTTATTGAGGCATTCAACGAACATAACAGTCTCGAAATTTTCAATGCGATTTGAGATAAATGATGAAACGAAAACAAACTATACTGGCTACCTAGTCTTTAAACATAAACAACAGAAGCATAAATAAACAAAACTTTGTATGGTTTTACTTTGTAATCATTCGACACTGCGTAACATCATGTGATTCTATCTTCTTTTTGCTTATAGAAATACTGAGAATGAAAGAACAAGCGATCAAATGGCTACTAATTAACAGCATTACCACTGCTATTGATAACAGAAGCACAAAAAGTCCCTAAGATTCTACTAGTTTGAATTTTTGAAAGAAATGTTGGTGCATCTTGTCGCTTAATTGTCTTTCATATTAGTATTGATTTTGAAAGGTTTCGAATATAATGAAATCAATATTTGCATATAGAAATAAAATTTTCTCGTTTAATTATTTACTGCCTTATGTGGTGAGATTCTAATTTCCATATGTCAGGGAAGTCAATGAATTGGCAATTCGAACGGTAGACAACACTGAATTTAAAAACACAATGCTGCGGTAATCATAAAGTTAGTGTGAACGTATATTTTTTTAATGTTGGCAACCTTGCAATACAGCAGGCAAGAAAAAGAAGAATAGAACATTATTAAATTTGTTATTTTCGCCAGAATATTAATTAAAAGAGAAATTATCTCACATTATCTCAATTATCACTAATAAGGTGAATATCAGTAAATAATTGAATATTTCGTTTGCACAAAAAGCAAAATTAAAGTAAGAATAATGGTGGACGCCGCACGTCAAATGTTGGACGAATTGATGGGAAGAAATCGAAATTTACATCCATCAGAAGCTCCCAAGGTTAGTATGTGCTAGTACAAAAAAAGAAAAATGAATCCTTTTGGAGGAAGTAATTTTGATAATGTTTAAATGTTTTATTTCTATAGACTGTAAACTGGGATGACCCGGAGGTAAGTAAAACTTTTTCAAAAAAAAATTTTTCTATTTTACGATTTGAAAATGTCGAACTATAAATACAATATTGAAAAATAGCGAAAAGGGGGGAAATGAAAAGAAGCTAAATGAGATTTGTAAAAAGGAATTTTTATGTTATAACACACTTGTGTTGTTTCTTTTTATAGTAAAGATTCACTGAATGTTTTGTCTTATTTTGCGATTATTTCCCTCAGTATTGTCAATATTATATAGTGAAATTTTGTCCGCACGATTTATTTGTAAATACTCGAGCCGATTTGGGCGCCTGCTATCGTATACATGATGATGAGGCCAAAAAGAAATACGACGAAGCCAAGCCAAGTCATCGTAAGCGTCAATTCGAAGATGAATTTCTGCAATTTTGTAATTCTATGCTCAATGACGTCGATCGCAAAATACAAAAAGGTAAACAACGCTTAAAATTGATGCAAAAAGATCAGCCGTCTGGCCTATCTCATACGTCCAAATATCAGGAGCAATTAAACAATTTAAACGCGCGCATTAAAAAGCTGCTGGCCGAAGCCGAAGAAGCCGGCATACGGGGTGACGTTGATCAGGCACAGGATCTCATGAATCTTTGTGAACAACTAAAGGATGAACGCGACGCTATGGTGGTCCAACATGAACAGATGATAACAACCACCAAAGAAACTATAATTTCGGAAAAATTAGCTATTAAAGCACCAACATCAATAGCGGGTAATTCATCAGAAACCAGTGGTGGGAATGGTGGTGGCGGAGGAGGCGATAAATCACCAACAAGCGATGCTGAAAATTCTTCATCCGCTGCGGACAAAAAAGTTAATGCTTGGATGCAAGATATGGGACATATACCGGAAAAACAAATGGAGGTATGCGAAGTTTGTGGTGCTTTTCTCATTGTAGGCGATGCTCAACAACGTATCGAAGACCATTTGACGGGTAAACAACATTTGGGCTTTACAAAATTACGCAAAGCCGTCGAAGAAATTCACGAACGTCGCAAAAAGGAACGGGAAGAAGATGAACGTCGCAAACGGGATGATCGTTCCTCACATCATCGTAGCAATTATCACAGCAGTTACGACCCAGAGCGTAGGCGGTAAGCAACAATTTTACACATATTAATTTACTTTTCATATCATCTATTGCCCTTTTCAGTGAACGTGAACATCGTGAACGATCACGAGAACATAATAGTGGTCATTATCATCAAAGTGATAGGCATAGACGTAAGTTTTATTAACATTTATTATTCCAAATAATCGCTTAACTAAGGTTTGCATTTGAAAAATTTTGTTTAGATCATCATAAATCTCACCACCGCCGTCGTTCTCATTCACGTAGTCGTTCTCATCGCAGTAGTCATGAACGCCGTGAAAGCCGTAGCCGCAGCCGTAGTCGTTACTAACTGCTCTAGTAACGTATAAATGAGGTACTCTTCCCCAAAAATAAAATAAAATATAAAAAAAAAAAACTTACAGAAATCAATGATTAACAAAATCATTACCAAAAAAATAAATAATCTTAAAAAAAGAAAAAAAAAAACTTACTTAAGATAACCACATTATCATAATGAAGAAACAAACAAAACAAAGTCAACATCTCATAAGGTGAGTGAAACTGTGTGTTTTTTTGTTTGTACTTATTTTGTGTTTTAATTATTTTTTTTTTTAAAAAACGAGACAATTTTTTTTTTTGTTTGTATCGAAACAAATTGCATGATTTTAGGTGTTATGTAGCTTGACTTTATTCTCTATATAAGAAAACTCTTATATCAGAAGAATTATTCAATTAATTATACAAAAAAGATTTCCGACCGAAAGTGGAACATCTTCTAGATTATATTATCGACTTCTATTTATAGTTACTTGTCAAAAAAAAAAAAAAAAAAAGTAAAAAATTATTTTAGTTGTGAAAGCTTATCGCGAACGAGCGCGTAAATCACTTTTTTCTTGGAAATTAGCTCAAATTTACAAATTGATTAAAACCGTTAAGCTAAACGTTTAAATCTTTTTTATTTATTTGCTTATATCATTCGAATTCATGATCTTAATAGCAATCAAAGAAAAATTTTTTACCAAAACCTTATCCCGCTATACCTTCATTCATTTGCCCCGATGATTATATTGATTAACCGAAGTAATTTATATTAAGAATAATACGTTCAAAGTGCCAATTTCATTAAAATGTGACTTCGTTAGTCGGCTAATCACTATTTTCATATGTTTGACCGATGACCGGAGTCTTCATTTTTCATTAATAACAATTATTAGGTATTTATCCTTCATTGAATCATTAAGCTATACTATCCATAAAACTGGACTCAGGAAATTAATTCAAAAAAATTAAAGTTTCGATACAAAACTAAAGCTAAACAATTTCGATCATAATAATATGTGCAATGCCTACAAAAAGGACTATTCTAGTTGATAGTTGCTGGCATTAACGAATGACGCGTCAGACGGAGCAGGGAGAGTACTATGTCAACAAAACTGCCATAGGCTCATTGGATCCAATGTTTCGATTTCTCTCTCTACTGCACTGAATGCATTTGACCTCTCTATTTGAATTATCTACTTACTCTACTGAATACTCTATCAGCGTAACTGGCATCTATCCAAGTTGAAATTGAAAAAATTGTCTAAGTTTCATTGAATCTTTTTCCCAATGTCCCAATGTGTAACTTGGTAGTCCTGAAAACAAAAAGGCAGAAGTATCCGTCGTTCTAAAAAGAAAACGACAAATCATTTTGGAGGAAAATTATTTTACTCATATTATTTCTTAACAGTTTATGCCCCAAGGGAAACGTAAATGGATTTGTTCGTTGTCTGAGATTCTGCTGCAGTTTCTCTCACGATTAAGTTGGGTCAAGTCGTGTTGGCCGCGCCCTTAACGATTAAAGCGTACTTCCTGATATTATTGGCTCAAAGCTTCGCAAGAACAAATCAAAATCTCTTAGCAAAGGCAAGAGTACCTCGCTTATAAATTACTTAAATATTGCGTTTTCTAAGAAATTGCGTTATTTTGTCTCTGAGGTTATGTAAAAGTATAAGGTACCCCGCTGAATTGAGAGTACAAAGGTTTGAGTAAATAAAGCTCTGCCCGAAACAATGCTAATAATATAGTAAGCCATACTTTTCCTGCTAAATACGAAAGAAAATGCTGCTGCATCATGACCTGATTGAAATTATGCCGATATATAGTATAAAACGTTTGCAATATGTATACGAAAAGATATTAGAAGATAGTATTTCGGTATGACGACGGTCGGCCAGGAAGCGTTAGCGCTGCTGAACGGAAATGTGCTGCCATTCGAGCTGTAATCATCAAAACGTTTCTTGTTACCTTGTTTTGATACCTGTTTCAAGCCATGACGTATTGGCGTTCTTATAGCAATACCGTTATGAAGATAAATTCAGTTATCCTCTCGGCGTAGGAGTCATTTTCTGTAAAAAAGATAGGAAAGATGCATAGCTAGTGATGAATAGTGCTTTGGAAAAAATAATTTTCATTTGAAATAAGTGTTTCTTCTTTCTCTAGTAAATAAAATTGTACGATTTACTTTTACATGTGGTAGTTAGAGAAAGTGCAAGCGTACTTTACGCGTTGATAACATCTTACCTCTACGATCATTTTTCGTATGAAATAGAAAAAAAAGTCTCCTTTCATAGGCAGTCAGTGAGTGGGTGGCGGTGTTCTTTTTTCTTTTTTAATATTAATGTCTTTTTTTTTTTTTTTTTTTTTTTTTTTTTTTTTTTTGTTTTAATTAAGAAAAAGGTTAACGTTGTTAATATTACTTTCTGGTCTTTTTCTTAGTCTTTCTTACAAGTTCCACTTTGATAACTTTCGGTCGGAATTTAAGCGCAAACTATTCTGTGTTTCCTTTCTTCTTGATGATGAGTTTATGATGAGTTTCTCAGTCAGATTTAACAGGTTAGTGTCTCAAGAAATTATTGTATTTATGTAATTAAGCACACAACAGAAAATCTTTGCTAATCGAAACAAAAGTTTAACAAAACATACATTTGAGCAATGGCAGGCTTCGATTTTGGGATTGAGAGATGTTGAGAAATGATGGCACATACATGATGGAAGGATGTCTGTCAGGTATTTTTCTTATAATTTCCTTTAGTTAGCTATATTGAATATAAGTGATACTTAATTAAAAACAAACAAAAATTTTTTTGTTTTTTTTGCAAAAGTGAACTTTTCACAGAGATATCATATAATAAATAAATAAATAAAAAAAAAATTCAAATAAATAAATAAAAAAAGAAAAGATAAAAATCTTATTTGTGTGCGGAAGTTCAAACACACAACAGACACAGGGCACAAACTTGTTCTTCTCTTCTCGTACTTCTGACTATCAATCAAATCAGGTACATTAATTAAACGTATAATTTTACAATAAATTTTTTCGTTTTTAAAGGTCAACACAATGACCCAAAGTCAGTCCAATACAAGCCAATCAGCTAATAGACAAAAAAAATGAAAGAAAGAAAGAAAGAAAGAATAATTCACCATCTTATACAAAACAGTTTTTAATAACCCTTGCTGCGGGCTAAGCTTTGTGATCTTCGGATCTCTCTAAGAAAGTAAACATGGCAAAGACACAGGTACATTTTGTTTGAAATTAAAAGCTGTACATATAGATTTGCTTCGTTTTGTGTGGGCCATTCGCCAACTTCCATTTGCAGTGTGTGAGTGAATGATTGAGTTTTGCCATAACCTACTGATGACTCTAGTAAAACAAAACATTTCAGAACCCCTAAACAATTGTTATTGACACACACGAGGTAATTGCCGATATTAATTGATTTTTTAAAAACGCTGTTATTTGTTCTTTTCTTCTTTTTTTTTTTTTTTTTTTTTTTTTTTTTTCTTGCTGAATATAATTAAATATATTTTTAATACTTAACGAGGAGAAAACAAAACGATTTGCAATATCTTGAAATTAATTTATCCTAAATGTTTTTTAAATATACAATTTGAGATTTGAATGGAGGAAGGGAGTTTGTTGTTGTTGCTAAGCGCTAGAGAAGGGACGAGACAAATTGTAGAAAAGGATAAGAATCCCTCAACATACACGACACCCATTATTACCGTTGTTGCTATACATAAAACGCAATCATTTTTATTTATTTTTTTTCTTCCTTTTGTATTACATTAAAAGACAACGTATAGATAAAGAAAGCATTGGTGCATCTGGTAGTAAGTTTATTGGTGTAAATGTGAAATTCTATGCGGTATTGAAAACTAATACGATTTAATATAATTTTCCATATTTAGACATATCCGTCATCTATGTCTAAGTCTATGACCCGCGTCGTAAATAAAACATCATATGTAACGTTATGGATAAAATTGCGCACTACAACTTATAAATACGGTTGTGAAGCGAACTAACCCATCGTCATTCCGTTTATATTACTCGACAATATAGATGACAAAGTTCGATGTATTGATTTTCTCTTATGATATAATTTCGAATTAATTTAAACTTTCATTTCATTGTAGAAATTCAAAGTTTTATTCAGCTTAGACGCGGTAAATTTAAAAATTTTGGCTAACTTCACTTAAGACACAACAAATAAGAAAAAAAATTTTCAGCTTCAGCCTATCTTTAATATCAAGCAACTCAAGCCAATATATATTCGTTTGGGGAAAAAGAAATCCATTATTTTTATATGAATTTCAAGACTTTATTTAACATGCTTCGGATTGTCCGATTTGGGTCAAATATGCACCGTTTCGTTGTATGATTTGTTGCCATCTTCTCAAGGGTAACTTCAAAATGCCTCTCTCATAGAAGTCCTGGTCTCTATTTGCAAAAAACTCTAGTAGTCGATTTTCACAATCCTCTCTAGATTGCAATTTTTTATGATTAAAGAAATTTTGCAATGCAAGAAAAAGATGATAATCGCTTGGTGCCAAGTCCGGACTGTATGGCGGATGCATTAAAACTTCCCAACCTAGCTCTCGAAGTTTCTGGCGAGTCACTGTAGATGTGTGTGGCCTAGCGTTGTCCTGGTGGAACACGACACCTCTCCTGTTGGCCAATTCTGGCCGTTTCTGGTCAATCGCTATCTTCAAACGGTCCAGTTGTTGACAGTAGAGATCAGAATTTAGCGTTTGGCCATATGGAAGCAACTCATAATAAATAATCCCCTTCCAGTCCCACCAAATGCATAGCAAAACCTTTCTGGCCGTTTGAGGTGCTTCACCGCTCTTTGACCACGATCGTTTTTGCACAGGGTTATCGTATGTGATCCATTTCTCATTTCCAGTCACCATCCGTTTAAGAAATGGGTCTATCTCATTCCGTTTGATCGATACTTTACGAGAAATCTAGCAGTGCAGCCATCTACCGAAAAAATAATGGATTTCTTTTTCCCCAAACTAATATAAATATTGTTAAATATTTTATTAATT